CTGACATCCACCACCTACCTACCCCCTACCTACCCCCTCCATTCTCTCCATCCAATAACCGTTCATCCATCCATCCATCTTTCCATCCATCCATCCCTCTACCAACCCATCCACCCAACAACCAATCCAATTACCCATCCACTCATCCATCCATCCATCTATCCATCCATCCATCCAACAACCAATCCAACTACCCATCGTCTCACCCATCTATCCTCTCACCAGAACCCCAGTCGAGTTCTACCACAACGCTAACGGTAACGGCCAGCACGACCCCGCCGACACCGCCAAGAACTACGTCTCTGTCCTGGACACAAAGGGCGTCATGAAGTCGGTGGCTCCCACAGGCTTCCGCGTCATCACCCCAGACATCCAGGACGTGGGCAAAATCCGTCTCCGATACCCCATCTTCCCCGTGCACGCCGAGGGATCCACAGTTGGACAAGAGCTCATGGTATAGTAATTAGTAATTTTTTTATGTTTTAAAAAAAACAATGTACGTGTTTCTGCGGCACCTTCGACTCAGTTTGGATTACATTCATGCGTTTGTCTATTTGCCTATTTGAGTCAGTCACAGTGACCCTTGACACTTGTTATTCAGTGGAATGATATCCGGTCTATTTCATCTGTTAATGTATTCATGTACAGTCCATCCATCCATCCACCCATCCATCAGTCCTTCCACCAACATATCCACCTATCCATCCACTCATCCATCGATCCATCCAACCATCCATCCATCCATCCATGCATCCATCTACCCACTCGCGCACTCATTTAACTATTCCTTCATCCATGCTCTCTCTTCCCACCCCCATTTCCCCCCTACAGGATCTGTAGGAGATGGTGATGAAGATGGGCAAGTACCAGTACCTGTATCCATCCACACATCCATCCATCTATGTATCCATCCATCCAACCAACCATCCACTAATCCATCCATTCCTTCATCCTCAGGCCCTGAAGGAGATGGTGATGAAGATGGGCAGGTACCAATACTTGTATTCATCCACCCATCCACTAATCCATCCATGCTCTCTCATCCATACTCTCTCATCCATGCTCTCTCATCCATACTCTGTCATCCATGCTCTCTCATCCATACTCTGTCATCCATGCTCTCTCATCCATACTCTCTCATCCATACTCTCTCATCCATGCTCTCTCATCCATACTCTCTCATCCATGCTCTCTCATCCATGTTCTCCCCTCTCCCCGCACAGGCCCTGAAGGAGATGGTGATGAAGATGGGCAGGTACCAGTACCTGTACCCATCCACACATCCATCCATCTGTGTATCAATCCATCCACCCATCCACCCATCCACCCATCCACACAACCAACCATCCACTAATCCATCCCTTCCTTCATCCACAGGCCCTGAAGGAGATGGTGATGAAGATGGGCAGGTACCAGTACCTGTACGAGGAGACACCCATGGGCCAGGCTCTCCCGCCCGATGAGGACAAAACCTTCCACGTCAGGGACAGCGCCAAGTGAGTTCTCATTGCAATAGTCGAGGAAATTTTTATGCCCCTGTTGACACAAATTAGATCATTTTGGACACGAGGCTGGTTGTTTTGAAATTGGTCGCTTTTAAGCATAAGAGGGTTACCACAAAATATGCTGTTTTGAGAAAATCGAAATTAAAGTTTTTGGACCCTTGTTCAGTTTCTTTAAAAGACAAGGAGAGTTTTCTCTATAACCAAAGAAATGTACCCACCGATGAAACCAAACTTCTCCCATTGGAGAACAGCAAAAACAAAAACAACGACAACAATACAAACAATAACAACAACAGCAACAACAACAACAACAACAACAACAACAACAACAGCAACAACAAAAAACAACATCAACAACAACAACAACCCTCAAACTGACAAGACGTCTCGCTGTCCCCAGGAACCCTCCAGGCCTGCACGGCCACGACTTCACCCTGACGTCTGACGAGTACAAGTCCCTAATGGCGGGCAACGACACGACAGTGACAACCTCCTTCAACCTGGGCCACCAGCACCAGATGGTCATCTACTACAACACCCGCAACCACAACTACTACTTCAAGTCCTGCGACGGACAACCTCGCTGCTGGGACGGCCACGGCTCGCTTCTACAGCTCTACCGACTCTAGATCACGTGACCCTGGCATTATGGACAACTGGACGTTAGCTCTTTAACTGATGACGTAGCGGACGGACACAAAAAGATGATTATATTATTGTAATTATTATGTCCGATCAGCAGTAGTAGACCAAAGGCAATATAGCGTCGCTTTTCGATGTCTCATCAGTAACAGAACCAAGGCAATGTTATGACATATTTCGAACCATCATAGAAAAATCAGAAACACAAACTATCTACAGACGTCATAGTATACACCATGGTGTCTGCCTTTTAAAGTTTCTGTTGAAGTAAACTTACCTTACCTACTTTGGCTTTTTCTGACCTCTTAGACCACAGAGTGCCAAAGTATAAAAGTATTGAAGTAAACAACACTGAAAAATTTGTGTGGATAATGAAGCCATACTTTTCTTTTTTATTAAGTTCTCCGAATCAGAGCGTCTTTAAGAGTTTTAGAAAGACCAGAACAATTTGTGTCCTCGGTGAGCTAACGTCTCTTTATGTAGTGTACGCATGATTCAGTTTGTCTTACGTTTTTTATCAAATCAAACATGAAAAGGTAGTCCGATGAAATCTTGTTCACATCTTTATCCTGAAAAAAAGAGTAGAGGATTTCGACTCCAAATCACCTCATGGTAGGACAGAGTGATATTCCGATTTCGATAATATTGCTTTTGTGTGTGCACCTCATAATTGAAGACATAAGTAGGAGCGGGGTGGGCTAAACAAATGAATACATCTTGTCAATCCCTTTCTTCTTTCCTTGCCGAAAGTTTCAAGTAGGTTACCACTTTTGTTCGTCTCATTTGTTATACTTAAAAGCTGTTGATTCTATTTTTTCTAACGAGTTGTTACTTTTTTACATTTTTTACTTTCCTGAATAAACGGATCTCATAATCAAAAGTTTTTGACTTAAAGTCTTTTCTTCTGACTTGTGTATCTATACTGCATGTAATAAATTATGGACATTGTTGTGTGTTATTTGACTGTATGGATACAACTCGGATGGCTGGCTGGTGCTCTGGTGTGGTTTGCTCCGTTTTTCCCATCAAACACCTACCGCCCATATTTCTCCTTCTTTTCTGTGTATCGTGTTCTCCTATCAAACGTCATATCGTGGGTGTTATTCACAAACCGGCGACATGCAGAAAGGGAAATTTTACAGGAAGGACAAAAAACTGATAATTTTTTTAACGCGCTGCGTAATCTTATATATTTCTGTAGAAAAGGTTAAGTTATAAATGTTAGGACCAAATACTACTTGATTTTTCTGAAATGCCACAACCGCTGGTTTTATTATGTACGTAGCCGGTTATGGGATGACAAAAAATGTGCAGCACAATGCAGGTGGTCGGTTCTCTGCACTAAGCCGGTTCGAGCATGACTTATCGGCGCACAGCCGTGACACGAGGCGTCCTGTAGCCGGTTCGACGCAGCTGTGTGCTACTTTTCGCTACCATTGGCCTAACAAGTATAGATCTACTTGGACGACGGCGAGTTATAGACCTAGTATTTAAACCAGTGGTTTTTAAACTTTTTTCGGTCACTGTCCCCTTTTTCACACGTCCTTATAAAATGTTTTCTCCCATCAGCGTGCAGCAATAAAGTGGCCTGTGATTTACCTAACACACACAAACACGCACAAGGGGTGTTAGCGAGTGTGTGTGTGGGTTAGGTGTGGGGGTATTTGTGTGGTTGGGGGGGGGTGTGTTTGTGCAGTAAAGTGGCCTTTGATTTGTATATCAAATATCTCCACTGCGGAACATAAAAATGTAATATTAAGTTGTTCAAATGTGAGAAACCACAAGAAAGAAAAAGTACGAATGGATCATAGTCTGTAATCATCACCATCATCATCATCATCATCATCATCATCATCATCATCATCATCATCATCATCATCATCATCACCAACATGGGTCTCCCTTGGACAAGCTCTCACCAGATTGATCGGCCGTCGATTCTCTGCTTCAGGGGGAGGTGGTCTGCTAGAAACCAACTTTTCCTTCTGTTTTTAGGCTTGACTGCTTGATCAAGGGCTTTCTTTCTAGGATGGTTGTCTGGTAATCTCTTTGCCATCTCTACAGACTTGAGGCATGTTCTTTTTGTATAGGTGGTGTAGTGCTCAGTTCTGGTGTCATAGCGCAGCGCATCTGTTGGTGTTGTTTTCAGCTGACCTGATACAAGTCGGAAGGCTTTTTTGTATTCTGTCCAGGGCCTTTGCACTAGTCTCACCCAGGCAACCCTGTGATGCTGGGCCAGCGTAATCCATCCTGCTTTTCTCGAAAATCTGATATACCTTCTTGGGCGACTCCTTACCCCAGCCCCATTTTGAGTTGCTGACAGCACCGATAACCTTCATTTTTGAGGTTGCACTTTTGGACACCTCCTCAACGTGCTTGTTGAAGGTTAACTGTCTATCCAGGTAGACGCACGGCAGACGTGGAGTGGGGTTGAATAGTGTCTTTTTCCCTTCTATCTGAATTATTGGTTGCCACGTTGCCTCCTTCACCCATGTTGAGAAGAAGCACACTTCACTTTTGGTCGCATTCCAGGTAAGCTTCCATTCATTGCTCCATTTCACAACCATGTCCACAATCAACTGTGTCGCTTCATTGGCCTTTGCTCTCTTTGCGTGACTGGCCAATTTTGCGCAGTCATCAGCGAACATTGAGTAGATCAGCTTGGCAGAGGTTAGTTGTTGTGAGTCAAGGGTTTGGGAGGGATTCTGCCAGGTTGTTTGTGAAGAATATACAAAGCATCGGTGATAGTACAGCTCCTTGGGGAAGCCCTTGCTTGAAATTCTAGCTCTTGCTTGTTTCTCCTTTCAGGCGAACATGGCTTGTCTGTTTCTCAGGAAACCATGGATCCATCTGATTGCACGCAACGGAACTCCCTTGTCAGCCATTGACAGTAATAGTCTTTCACGCGAAACCGTATTGTATGCCTTGAAGTAGTCCAGCAGGACTAGGACTGATTGATGTAATGTTGGGTTTTGTTGAAAGCCATCCTCAATTCCTTGACAGATTCTGATGATCTGGTCCGTGCAGCTATGACCTTGGTGAAATCCTGCCTGATTATCTGCAATCCATTCATTCTTCTCTGACAGGTAGTAAATTCCTTCAGCGTGCATCCTTTCTATAACTTTCACGAAATTCGGACAGAACTGAGAGGTCAAACAGGCAGAACAAACGTGTTGAACAGTTAGGTTCCTTTTGAGAGCAACCGCACTTCAGTGTGCATTAGTAAGAATTGAATGTCCTAGTCATTTCCGATGCAGAGTTGTTGGAATCATCTCGAAATAGAAATTAAATGCTGTGCGTGAATGACACATTTTCATCAAGAAGCTAACCCCTAACCCCTAACCCCAGGTCTTTATTCCATATCTCCAATACCCCGTCAATATTCGATACGCCAATGCCTGTTCTATTATTCGATACCTTTCATGCACTGACAATATTCGATATCCGTTCAGTACATCACTGGATGAAAATATTCGATACCTGGTCTATCCGGTATGTCCGATATCGTCGATAAATTTATGCTTGACTACATTGATAGCTCCCTTACCAGGCATTAGTCGATACATCCCTTGCCTGGTATATTCGATTTAATTGTAATCTGCTGTAATTATTCGACATTTCTTTGCGCTTTAATATTTGAAACCGATCGCTTCCTTCCTGTCATTATTTGATACCAACTCTCACTAGTGCATACCTGTCTTACCTTATACTTACTCGATATCTTGCCAGATATTCCTATCTGACATTACTCGATAACCTTTAAACATTGTTAAAGCTCATTACTCTACTCCCCCTTGCTGGCCATTAATCAATATCACTTTTGTCTGATCTGTACTCGATACGACATTTTCCTAGTCCTTCGGTCGCATTCCGTCTACCTGGGTATGGTTATTTGAACCTTCTTTGTCTGAGCATAATCAATACCGAACGGTCTTGTTTTCGATATCTCCTTTGGTTTGAAATAATTCGATTTCCTTTCAACTGGTCATTATTTGTTAAACTTTGACACTTCGTAAGTTTAATAATTATTAACCTATACCAATTACAAACTTTCAATATTTTTGTCATTAGTTAAAGTTATCACCTCTGTTATCAATCAATACAAACTGCGACCTTCAAGTCAAGTTATTTGATTTTTGGTTGATTGATATTTTAAAATCATTAGCAGAATAGTGGCGAGCACAAGACGTGAAGTGACGTGACAAGGGACCATCTTACACGTCTTATTCATACATCAAGTATCTTGATTCGTTTATATAGTCGGTGTACTAACAGCTATATTATATTATGGTTTTCCTAAGATATTTTTCTATCTGTCATTTTGTTCCCTTTGAAAAATGCGTTTTCTAAGGGCTTACTAAAGTTTGAAACATTTCCTAGTATTTCGATATTCAAAAGTTTTGCTAGATTTGTCTTTCACTTATCAAAGCGGCTTTTCTGTTTTTCAGTTTACTGTTGTTTAAGAAGACTTTTAAGGTAATTGTTTCCCTTACTCAAGCAATTATTTTGGGTTGCTGTTACCTTCATACTTCATAAAAGAGGACTCCTCTAGTATTCTGGCTGTGTTCTACCTTCAAAATCAACTGTGTTTTGTTTCTTTTAAGTCTTAAGCATTTTACTTGTGAGGTGATGTTGTGTTGGTTTTTTTTCTAAAACCACTTTTAGGTCAATCGAGACTCGTGGAGCAAGGGCTGGAGATGAAGGGAAATGACTGAGGAAATGTCTTTTGGGAGAATACGTTACAAAGATTTATGGAACTTGGAGTCTTTATCCAAGTATTCCATTAATTATTATTACGTGTGAACCCTCCGTCTCTCCTGCATATTCTCCGCTGCCTTCTCTCTCTGTCTTTCTCTCTCTGTCCACCCCCCCTCTCTCTCTCTCTCTCTCTCTCTCTCTCTC